AAAAATTTTTTGCGGGCCGGCCGGGATTTTGAATTAACTTAATTATCCGCCTATTATTTTTTATAATTAGTTTATATAAATACAAAGTTGGTAACTTTTTTCAAAATAAAATAACATCTTGATTTAAAATACATTAATTTATAATAATAAACCAACGATCTTTTTTAAATATAAAGGAATGTAAACAAGATAAAATTTTATAAAAAAAACGATTTTAATTTTATAATTAAAAATATATTTTATGCGAATGTCCCGCAAAACGACCGCAATTGGAAACCTACCGGTGTGTGTATAACATTATAGGGATAGGCGCTTAATTATCACGTATCACGTTAAAATATATAAGGTACTCCAAAAATAAGAAATAATACAGATGCAACTACAGTTGCGGCAATTGTAATCACTTATCTTGTAGTACAACATTCACAGAGATACTTATTATCATAATGTTGGTAGAATCTTTTTCCCATAATATTTAACGACTCTAACATTGATGAAAACTATACTTGTAGAACAAAAATGATTAAGGCTATAATCAATGTTTTAGGACCTAAATCCAGGAGGTCAATTCTTGACGATTTAAAAGATGGCATACATATGCAATTCTAACAGATGCATCTAATAAGGGAAATATTCCTCCGCTATTTCAACAAAATTAAGGTCGTTTCAATAAAACTATTAAATTTTTTTCCCTCAAATAGTGAAAAATCCATAGACATAGCTAACCATATAATGGTAAATATAGCAGATTCGAAATTATCAATAAATTGCATGTCAGCTTTCTGATCTGATAATGCCTCAGTGAATTTTGTAAAAACAGAGTGTATTTACAGAATTGAGTCAGCACAATGTTGGTTGCGATATGTTCCTAGAACCCGCCATCGATAGAATTTTAAAATTTTATAAACCCTTAAAAAAATATTTCTTAAATAAAGATTATAAAAGCTGTCCTAACATTTTGAAAATTTTTTTCAATAATGAATGGCAGAGGTATATTTAGGAATGATTTCACATGTACTACTACATGCTGTTAATGTGTAGTTATAATCAGAAGAATCTTAACAAAGATTAACAAAATTATGCTGCAGATGTGTTCATCTTTATAGTTAAAAATTGACAATAAATTTTATGGCGTCATTGCTAAAACTTAATTATATTTTATTTGAGATTTAAATAATAGAACTAGTTTACCGTCGTTATTGAGATTCCTGGCATGACATATTATATATTAGTTTTAACCATTAGCTCGGCCTAAAATGTTGTTAAAGCAATCCGATTTCTCTACTTTTTCCAGGCAGTCCTCATCAGGCTAAAAATGCGCTCGGATGAGGCATTAGAATGAGGTAAGGAGAAGACATACTCGCAAATTTTTTCCAAGATGGGGATTTATCGTTAATTACGAAAAAATTCGACTTATTTCTCCTCTGCTTTTAGACCATCTAACTTTAAGTATTTTGGCGAATCATAAAAATAGAGAGAATTATCAAACAAGGAATCAATGTCTTTCTATATTTTTATTATATTTATTAAATTATAAAAACCATCAATTGATGGTTTCTGTTCCAAGGTCATAATATTTATACATTCGTAAATAGAGTTATTAAAATCAAATTTTGATTGTAAATATTCTAAAATTGTCTTTAAAAAAAAATCTGCTTCATTTAAAAATGTATTAATTAGAGTATTATTTGAACATTTTAATATAATATTTTTAGCAATAGCGCCATAAAATCTATTATCAATTTTTAACTGTAGAGATGAACAGAGCTGTAGCATGATTTTGTGAATCCTTTTTAATAAATATTCTGATTGCAACTGAATATTAACTGCATGAATCATATTTCCTACATGTGAAACGAATCCCAAATATGCTTCTGCCATTTCATACTCGAAAAAATTTTTCAAAATATTAGGACAGCTTTTAAAATCTCTATTTAAGAAGTATTTTTTTTAAGGGTTTGTAAAATTTTAAAATTCTATCTATGGCAGGTATTAATGACAACCACCTGATAGGTATATATCGCAACAACTCACACCATTCCAAGTCAGACCACTTCACCAACTCTTTTAATTCATTAACTCTTTTAGTTGATGAACTAAATTAGTTAAACATTTCATCACAATTATTTCGACATCCACAGATAGTACATTCATTGCCTTCTTGCAAGGATTATGTAGTATATGACATATATAGCCAATTGGTATTAATTCATTATTGTGCTGCCTCTATTCGGTAACTTTGGCTTTTGCCAAAAATTACAGAGGCATTATCAGAGCAGAAAGCTGACATGAAAATCATTGATAATCCTAAATCAACTATATTTACCATTATGTGGCTAGCTACATTGTTGGATTTTTCACTCTCCGAGGAAAATATTTTAACAGTTTTATTGAAATGTTCTCATTCTTGTTGAAATAGCGAAGGATCGAGGGAAATGTTTTAATATTTCCTATTAGATGCAAATGTTAGAATTGCATATGGATGCCCATCTTTCAAATCGTCTAGAATTGACCTCTAGGATTCTACTAAAACACTTGTGATAGCTTTGCTCATTTTTGTTCTGCCACAAGTAAGGTTTGCACTTATATCGGAGTCGTTAAATATCATGAGAAAAAGATTCGAACCACATTGTGATGATATAGCTCTGTGAATGTTGAACTACATGATAGATGTATACGAATTCCGCAAATATAGTTGCATCTGTATTATTTATTATTTTTGAATTGCAATCGATGTTGATATACTCCTCTGTACTGACTTATACGAATGAAATAATGTTGATTTATTATTGGATAAAAATAAAATAGGATAGAAAGAAATTAACAAACTAGACATGTTGTTCGAGTAAATATTTAAAATTTATTTTAGAAATATAAAAATAATCAATTAATGTCTCTCAAAATTATTATTTATATATTAAAAACGTTAAAATACTATAAAAAAAATTGCAGGAGAAATTAAAAAATTGCGGGCGGGAGATTTCCAATTGCAGTAGTTTTGCAAGAGAGATGTCTGCGTGTAAACTAAAAAATTGCGGGAGTCTCCCGCTGATGGGGAGAGACATGGAAACCCTGTTCACGGACCGATGATTGCAAGATATCCACATTTGAAATTCTTACCTTTCATCCAGAACCCAAATCGTATTCCTGTCACAGAACTCCCATCAACTCATTCTTCTAATTACTCTTTCTCAAGCATATTCTCAAAACTACAAAACCAAACATCATATCTAGAATCCCAAAGGTGGTAGAATACAAGTAGCCAAATCTCTCTGTGATTTCATCTCCTCTCCTGGAAAATTTCAATAATGGATTAAAATTCCTTTACTTTATATTCAAAATTCCGAAAAATCAAACCAGTCCTTAGTTCAACAAATAGAGGATACCGCCTTAAACATCTTTCTCCGTCTAAATGCTCTCCAGATTATTCACATCACAAAAAATATTTCTCCTTCGCAGTAAAAGGAGTCTTTGATTTCGAAGAAAGACAATTTTATTATTAATATAGCCCTCAACCCTATTTTAATCAATGATATATTAGCTTATTTTTCCAAAGAGACCTTTAACAGGCTTTGCTCAAAAAACCCGACTTCTAACCCAACTCCTATAATTCTCCAACCCTACTCTCATTATGCCTCAGATTTCACATAGGAAGTCAAGAAGCAGTCCTATCTTTTTATCGCGATTCAGCTCACGAACTTGATGGGATTAAATCAATCTTCCTTCAAGACATCACTTCTTCTTTGATATTCCCCACTAAAACCAACTTATGCAATAAAATCTTAAATGGAGAAGTACAGTTTTGTTACCCCCTACTCTAATGTGCCAGACTCATTGCACTAGAAAAACCCAATAAGGATATTTAAACCAACGTCATTGGTTCCACATATTGTAGATTGGTAGCAAAATTAATTTCCTCAAGAATCTAACACGAAGCATCACACATCCTTAGCCCTTATCAATTTGGTGTAGGCGTGCTGAAGCGGAGGTACACCTTACAAATCCACCTCGAAAATAATCCAACAAAAGAACCTTTAATGAAAATCGACTTTTCTAATGCTTAACTCTTTCTTACATTCCACGTGCACCCTTTTTCCGGTATACAATAAATTCCTATTTGCTTGTGTAATTTCCCACAATCCTATAATTCAACTCTAAAAAAATATTTTCAGTCGAGGGCATTAGACAGGGTGACCCCCTCGGATCCTTACTCTTTAGTCTAGGAATCAAACATAATAAAATCTATAAATTCTTAATACCATTGCTTAACGCCTGGTACATCGATGACAGAATCTTGAGTGGTTCCAGCTTTGAAATCGACAAAGCAGAACATAATTCGCGAAATGGGCACTTCCATTGGACTCTAGCTCAATCCAAATAAACCCAATATGATTTCACATTCACGACTTAAGATGAACCAACACATCTAGGATCTCTTATGGGAGAAAACAAGGCAATATATACCTTATATCACTCCATCCTTGACATCATCCATAAATTGGAAGACATCTTTATTTTTCTACCATCGAAAAAATCTTTTTCCTTGTTAATAAATCTCTTTTTCAAAGATTCTCTACGCCTTCTGTTCTACATCGATTTTCAAATACCCTCTTCAAGATATGCGAGGATAGATAAAATTGAAAAATTGTTAATCTCAGATTTAGAGACTGCTTGGGTCCAAGCCTTGCTTCCAGCTAAATTTGACGGATTTGGCATCCGATTTCCTTTCATCCTAGCTATAGCATCATTTATATCGTGAAATACTCTCATGAAGTCTGTATACTAAACGCATCCTATTCTCTTCCTTGCTCCTGGACATGAATTTCTCGAAGCCATTTCCTAGGGCATTCTTCAAATTCAGCGGACATAAAGGGAAGGCATAGTTTATTGCCGTTCATGCAATGGCCAATTCATCAGTCATACACAATGTAACTCAATCCTCCAACGAGCCTTTAAACCAGCTCAAATACTTTCCAAACTAAAAACTCTTGCCTCTTTCAGATCAGAAGGTAAACGCCCTGAATTTTATGATTTTATCAAATTTTTCTATAACAAAAAAAAATTTTTAAAAAACGAAGAATTTTTATAAAATTTCTTTTAAATTAGTCTAGCTCCACTTACCCCTTTCTTATAAATATTGTAGTATTTTAAATTCATAAAGAAAACTGATGAAATCTTTTATTACATTTATGCAAATGAAGGACTGACTACACATCCAAACACCCATTTACCGGCCTTCAGTCCTCTTTTGCCTGGCCTTCGGCAAAAGAAAAAGTAATGTAATATGAGCCAGTAAAAATCAGTACCGTAAATGCCAGAAAATTTGTGCTATGTAAGGTTCACAAAGTAAATGAATAAGTAAAACTTTAAACCTATATCCATTTCGAAAGCATTTATAATAATTATTCAAATTCAACAAATTTATCCAACTGATTTTATATATATAATAAGGCATATTAATAATATATATTATAATATTAGGTTTTTTTAATTGAATTGCTATTTGTATCATCATTTTCAATTTTTATCCTCTTCGATAAACTATGGTTAGGAGAATGCATATCGCGATCTGACTCTGGAGCTTTTTCTTGAAATAAAAATTTAATACAAATAAATTAAAAGTCTAAAAAAAATTAAATATTATAAGAATGCACTGTAAAAGTTCAATTCTTGTAAATAAATTTTTGCAAGAAAATTTAAATATAATTTTCAGTAGTTATATAAATTATTTCCTTATATTATAATTAAAATTTTTAATTGGACGAGAGATGGTTGAAATTGACTTTGTAAATGTGAGTTAGCACGAATTCGCGCTGTATTTTTATACACTTTTCTGTGAATTAGCACTAACTGTGAATGCAGTGTTAAGAAAAATAAAGCCAAACATAAATTCCGATAAATTCGCTGATTATAAGTCTTTGCTTTTTAAGCTCAAATCAATTTACTTTAATAAATTCATATAAACTTTTTTCCATGATACCATTGTGATTTGAAGTGGTTTTATCAATATTATCATCAGGTTGCCCCATGACTTGATCTGTACCAATTTCTTTTATAAGATTGTTTCCCTCCTTCCCTTCCCCTACCGTGTCCACTTTACTGGCTTGCTTGGCTATGTTTGAAGCTTTGAAATCATCTTTTAAAATTGGTGTGGTAATGTTTTGGGTAATCATTGAAGTGGCTTTATTTTTATTGGCCTCAAGTTTAATCTTATTGGAAACCTTTATAAAAAAAACGTTGGAAATTATCAGATTTTATAAAAAATATATTACTACTTTTTTCATAGATAAAAAATAACTCTTATTTATTATAGACTTAAAAGTAGTGTATTTTAGAACGTTTTTCTCAAGGGAAAATTTTTTTTAGAATGTTGCGAGAACCATTGTAAATTATATGAATTTAACCTATACATTCTCACTTCTTTCCCTTTTATTTTAATATTGTAATCCAAGTTGCCACCAAAATATGAGACAATTTTTCAATAACTTAATTGTAAGTTATAATTTAAAAACTTTTTTATATATATAAATAAACCTTATCAATGAAATCCGATACTACTTTATTAGAAATATCAGTTGTCTTTGCACTATTGGTACTATTAGCAGCTGAAGAACCAGTTACGTTAGCAGTGTTAGGTCCCTGACTATTATTGGCATTGTGGTGATGCGAACTGCCTTGGAAGTAGGGCAAGAAGAAATGTCTACATTCCCTACTCATTAGCCTCAAGGTTTTCCATTCCCTCGTTGTCTGATCGGAAAATTGATTGTTAGCTTTGGCTAAATGTAAGTAATCACCCGAACTATCCATATCCGTATCAGTGGGATTGTTTGATAGTCTATCAACTGAGGAGTTTTGGGCCATGAATTGTTGCAGGGAAGGTTTGAATATTCTTTTTGTATTATTTAAAGTGTAATATTTAAAAGAATGAGAAAATTTAGTTAATAATAGTAAAATCCCTTATAAAAGGATTAATGAAGATTGCCATATATAAAGTCCCTAGTTTCAAGCAATTTATATAAGTACTTTATAGAATGACAAATCTTTACTACGTGGATTTAAAAAAATAATCCTTCAGATATACTGTGTGGACTAGAGGTCTGCAACGAGGGTTTTTAGCCCGTCACCCATGCTACAGGCTAGCGTAGGAGGTAAAAAATTTTTAAGCATTGGGCCGGTAAGAGGACGAGTTAAAAAAAAATTTCATACAATAGCGGGCAATATGGTGGGGTGAATTTTAAATATTTAGGCAAAATGAACAGAACAGATTATTATTTATTAAAAAATCATTATTTTTTATTTCATAATATTATATATTTAAGTTTAATTAAAAATACATAAAAATAAATAAATATGGAGCCAAACCAGACCATTAATATAATTTTTAAACATTGAGCGGGCAGATAAACTAAAATTTTTAAATAAATGTGTGGGCGGACGACTGAATTTAAAAAAAAATATGAGGCGTGCGGGTTAAATAAAATTATCAAATAAATGTGCGGGTGGACGAGTGAATTTTAAAAAAGCATGGGAGTGTGCAATTTCGAGTGGGCAAGCTTGTTGGCTAAAAATGGCCCATTGCACACTAATTGGATACACAAAAAATGAAAATAAAAAGGTTTTGGAATAATTTCTTACTATCAAATTTCTAAATAAAAATTTTTTACCGGCTGAGCAATTTGCATAAAATATTTTATAGGCTGCTGGGAAAATAATTTTACAGAACTCGTCCATATCATTTGCGGCCAGTTCTAACTGGGCCGGACTGCATAAGGAAGGGTAATATAATATTATATTATAGAAACCAAAAATAATTGAAAAATTTTGCACATATGCCTTAATTAAAATTAGACTTTCAATAAAAAAAACTAGAGCATATAAAAAATAAAGATATAAATTGAAATCGATTGGAAGTAGTTAACAATCTTTAAAAAAATAAAAATAACTTTTAATAACCTGTTTTTAGAAGCACAAGCTTTGATGTTATCAGGCTCGTAATTCCATAAAGCATTCAATTCTGGGCTGATGAAAATAATTTTTTTTTTAAATTATCATATATTATAAATTTCTCGCATAATATGGCTGCACCTCTATTAATATCGGTATAGAATAGGCTGCGATATTCATAAGGATAGTAGGCCGACATTTTTATAAAACTGATTAGATACCTATTTATATGTACAGAATATCAATAAAATTTCTGTACATATTTTATTAAGAAATATAAATAAGCAATGTGATAGGTAATTTGCCTTCATTTCAGTGTAATAGTCTTGTATCATAATTATGGGGAAAGGGGGGAGGGTTAATGTTTAGTCAAAAAATTCGTATTTATTAATAACTTTTACAAATGATTAATTCAAATCATTTTTATATAAAAAAAATATATATTAAAATATTTATATAAAAATCTATAATAAAATAGAACATATAGAAAATATTTAAAAAAGAAAAAATAAAAATTTTAAAAAAAATTTTATTTAAGGAGATTGGTAAGTGAATGATTCAGGTCAAGAATTTTTAAATATTAAATATATGTTTATAAAATGGGGATGTTTTTTCCTTTATGGATTTCGAACTGGTTTAAAAAAGATTCAAGGTGGCTAGCCCAAAATAGCAGGATGATTAGACCTGTGCGCCGATGTCTCAATCGACGGCGGCGGTATTTTTTAATTTTTTTATCGGCGTTCGGCGGCGCGCCGATTTCGCAGTCGCCTACTAAATTGTCAGCGGCTGCGGCACAATATTTATTTTAAAATATTTTTTAATGAATTTAATTTATAAATCATTGTATTACATTTTTTATAATTTATTTGGGCGATCTTTTCTAACACATTGTTAACATAGTTTAATTGATCTTAAATTAATTCCTGTCTCACTCCAATTATGTATTTTCTCATTCTCAGAAATAGACTAAGGAATTGCATTTTTACTCAGATAAGAGTAACATCAAAAACACATATAAGAAATATTCTATTGATTTTTATTATAATTAAAATAAATTATGAATGCAAGCAAAATATAAAGTATGAAATATACTAAATCAGAATTCAGATTTATCGAATTTAAATATTCTGAAATAACTTTAAGATTTTGAAGTCTGGGATGTAGAGTTGATAATATCTAATGTTTAAAATATAATTTTATTAATAAAAATATAAAATTGAAGTTCAATAATGGGAAACCTATGAATTCTTTATAATAATTTTTCTGTCAAACTAGTATTCAAAAAATATATAATAACAAATAAAAAAATTTTTTCACATTTAATATTGATTTGTAAAAGTTTATTGTAATTTATATTACCAATATTAATAAATACTATATTTAATTTTTTTTAAAACATATTAATATATTAAATTTATCAATCATCAATATTAGGATATAACTAGACCTGTCCGCCACCGGCAATTTTATTCACTGCGGAAAAGCCACCTATAAATTTTTTTTAAATAAATAGGGCGCCGCAGCTAATTTATTAGGGTTGGCGAAATCGGCGCACTGCCGAACGCTGGATAAAATTTTTTTAAAAACCGTGGCCGTTAATTGAGGCTTCGGCGCACAGGTCTAGATAAAACAGACGTTATGCAATTAGTTAGTGCCTGGGCATACCATTTTTTAAACATATGTCAAGTCGCAGACTATTTTGGACGTCATGCGCTCCATTGTAAATTCACACATTCTGCATAAATAAAAATCGCCCCGACGGCAAAACTATAGATCCCTTTGTATCAGGCAAACCCTTGGTTTGGTTTACTAGCATAGACCCCTTTTCCCTTTCTAATACTATACATGACCCTCTTCTCAAGGCTGAGTCATTGAAATGCCAAAAACATTCCCATCGCCGATTGAGATGGTGGCGGCGCGGCGTGTGTAATTTTTAGAAAGCATATTAATTATATTTATATATATTGTTATTTTAATTTGAATACTAACATTAATAAAATTAAAATATGAATTATATTCTATTGTTATATATAATAGAATAGTGTATATCATTTACATTCATTCATTCATACATCATATTTTATTTCCACAAACAATTCATATTAATTATTTTTATGGATTTGCGCGTTTTAAACCATCTATATACAATTATGAAATAACAACTCTCTCTAGTAATCATAAAAGTTATGTCTGGAGGTACTTTGGAAGTCTTATTTTGAAGAATGAAAATAAGAAAAGCACAATAATGCCTGATTATATATATTGCTTAAAATTGGCGAAAAATGATGAGGAAGATGTTCGTTAAATTTAAGCTATATTTTAAAAGTTCAAAACAACTAAATTTTTAATTTGTTTATTGCCAGCTCTATTTTGAGATCTTTTTAATGTATAAACTTAATATATAATTTATTTAATTAATAATATAAAACTTTATTAAGTTAAAACTAAATCAAATTTATAATTTGTTTCATTCTAGTTCTAATTATTTTAATGTTTTAATTATCTTTTTAATGTATAAACTTAATATATAATTTATTATATTAATTATTTAAAACTTTATTTTGAAAGTTAAAACTAAATCAAATTTATAATCTGTTTCATTCCAGCTCTAATTATTTTGATGTTTTTTAAATTCTTTTTAATGTTTAAAATAAATATGAAATCTAGTAGAGCGAAATTATGTTTTGATGTGCAGCTTAGATTTAATGCCATTTATTCTATAAACAATAAAGGAATATCAGATTTTCTAAAGGTTTAAAATGTATATATATGATTATTAAAAAATAAATTGCCTAAAAAAAATAAAAATATAAGATAATTGATTCCTCGTCAGAAATGCCTAGGACAGGGGTGCACTAGACAATGTTTATTTATCTATAAAGGTGTATGTTTTAAATCTAATGGATTCTGGACCAAAATGTTGTTCTATCACTTTTGATTTATGGATCGAACATTTCAAGCGTCGAAATTATATCACATTTAGTCTTCATCATTTATATGAAAATTTTGATTTAAAATATTTTACCCTAGCAACTAGAAATGTAACTCAAAAGTATACTGGGGGAAGAATATTATCGAGATTGATAGTATAGAATAGGAGTTCCATATATAATCCAAAATAATGCTGGGGCCAATGTCAAAAGAGGCGTCAGATTAGGGGATTATGAATCATTTATGCTTAGGGCATGGACTTCATAATTTGGTTACAGTTGATGGCATAAAAAATTGTCAGAATTGATATTCTCATTAAAAAAAATTAGAGAAATTATTTCAGCCCTCAGATATCGAGTAACTGATTTGGAATGCGAAATTGAGGCTGAACATCGTAAATGCCTGCAGTCAATTTATGAAACAGGTCATATCTTGGATATTGATGATTCTGATCCATACCTTGATGACCATTTTGATATGTCTGAAAAATCGGATAATAGAAATGGCAATGCACCAACCAATCTAATCAATGCAAAAACTTTAAAATTAAATTGCCCAACCCGCTGGCATAGCATATTAATTATGCTAGAAAGTGTTCACAGTGTAAACAAAATTCCTATAAATATTGTTCTAATTAAAACAGGAAAACATTCTTTAAAACTCTTTAATAATGAATGTGATTAGATTGATGAACTTTACGCAGTATTAAATCCATTTCGAGAGTCGGAGGAATTTCAGTCGGAGGAATTTCTTTCCTCCTAAAAAGGATCGACAATAAACTTAGGGTTATTATTTCGCAGTGTAATAGGAGCTCATATACAAATCATGATTATTCAGATATTATTTGCTTAAAAGAAAATATGAAAAAAAAGCTTGACCATAGGTTTCCCATTATTGAACTTCAATTTTATATTTTTATTAATAAAACTATATTTTAAACATTAGATATTAGCAACTCTACATCCCAGATTTCAAAATCTTAAAGTTATTTGAATATTTAAATTCGATAAATCTGAATTCTGATTTAGTATATTTCATACTTTATATTTTGCTTGCATTCATAATTTATTTTAATTATAATAAAAATCAATAGAATATTTCTTATATGTGTTTTTGATGTGACTCTTATCTGAGTAAAAATGCAATTCCTTAGTCTATTTCTGAGAATGAGAAAATACATAATTGGAGTGAGACAGGAATTAATTTAAGATCAATTAAACTATGTTAACAATGTGTTAGAAAAGATCGCCCAAATAAATTATAAAAAATGTAATACATTGATTTATAAATTAAATTCATTAAAAAATAAATTGATTTATAAATTAAATTCATTAAAAAAAATTTAAAATAAATATTGCGCCGCCGCCGCTGACAATTTAGTAGGCGCAAAATCGGCCCGCCGCCGAACGCCAATAAAAAAATACCGCCGCCGTTGATTGAGACATCGGCGCACAGATCTAATTACATCCCTCTATTATTTTTTTAGTAGCAGTCCAGTCTGGACCATAGTCTTTACATATTATTTTATTCAATGGTTATATATTGACTACTGCAATAGCCTTTAACATGATACAAATATTTTTATTAATATTTTATTTTTTAATTCTTTTTCGGAGGAGTTTTCATCGTTCCTTTTCATTCAAAAGTTTCTGAAGAAAACACTATACTTATAGTCCTAAGAGAGTGCAACATCTATCCTTTGCAAACAAATTTCTAAAACAGGTGATTTTGTCATAAAAATACATCTTTCCAATAAGATAATACAAGTTGTCAGTGCAACACTTGGCTAAAAAGAATAGATAAGTCCATCCGATTAAGTTATTGACTCAATTAAACACCCCTTTGGAAAATGATATCAGCATTTATTATTTAAAATAAATCATCAATAATAATTTGATTAAGTATATTTTAATATAAAATAAAATTATAAGCCCAAGTTTTAGGTGTGAATCATATCCATTCATCTTTTTTTTAATGGTCTATAGCCTGAAGCTGTTATTTTTAAAGGTCTTTGGTCCAAACCATTCCCTGCATTTTAATCCAGAACAAAAGTGATTTTCACTATTCATGACCCCCTTTAGTTTTATGGCTTCTTGCCAAAATTCCATAAAAAATGGTCACCAATATATATTTATAATTGATCAAAACTTACCCTTGAGTGATCAAATATAAAGATTTTATTGTAAAACTAAAAAGGGAACATTTTTTTCTTTAAAACATAAATTAAAAAATTTAGAACCAACTTGAGAAAACAAATATTCAAAAATTTTTTTATATTTATTACTTTCCTAAATCTAAATATAATTTTTTGTATCTTCGTTTGAGTTTTTTGCTTGGGGGAGATTCAGTACTTTCTATAGATTTTTTGGTAACATCCTCAGTCATCCTAGATGATAAATAATTCTTATTAATTGTAGAGATTGAGATCAACAAGATATAAAATTATTATATTAGCCCATCCATCTAGTTATAATGACTCTTTTTTTTATTAGATTCTGATGAGTAAATTTACGATGAAACACATTGATAAAATAAAATTTCACAAAAACATTTACCCCCACCCCCCCCCCTTCTTAATTAATGTGTTAACAGATGTTTAATGGCTTTACAAAATAATTATCAAATTTAATGTTTTATCACTAATAAAAATTTTAACTCAGGTGAATATTAAATATTTTGAACTCTAATTTTGGAGGAATTTTAGTAAAATTTGGACACCCATTGTTTTTCCAATCATTCCAAAATTCTTCATATTTCAAAATATCTTGTACTTTCAATTTTAATTTGGATGTGCAATGATCATCTTCAAGTATCTTTTAAAAAATAAAAGGTTAAATAAAAATATTTGTGAATTTACAGTCTAATTTAAAATTAGGACTGTGCTGATATTAGATATCAAATTGGGGCAAATATTTACCATTATAAAAAATATTAGATTGGGCCAATATTTTCATTGTTTTGGGTTATTTTATTTGTATATAAAATTATAAAATATTTTATATTTTTTACAAAATTAACCAAAACTCAATCTATTTAAAATGTTTTAAAAAAAATAGAATTATTTTAAAAGATAGTTTGAATTTACAATATAGGAGTTAGTAATATGATTTTTGTATAATTTAAAACATCACAATAAGAAAAAAATAATACATTTCCCATCAGATTGTGATGATATATGTATATAGTATTTCATAATTGAAAACATTTGAAAACAAGTTAAATAAGAAAAAAAGTAAATTGATTGATTAAAACAGATTAATACATTCGTAACATCTCTCTCCTAAATTCTCCCTGTCGTGCACGTTCCTCGTCATACAAATTGCATGATCATCACTGTCTTATCATTGATCATCATCGTCATATCATTTGCTTGGTCATCATCGTTATACATTATCATTTAGCGTCCATTAGAATAGGGATAATAAAAATTGAATTTCACATATCACGTTTTGATTTAATGCATTTTTTTTATTCGCATTTTATATATTTCTTTTATGTATGTAGCGTTTTAATTTTATGTATATAAATTTTTTTTTATTTATTTAATATTAATTGAATCGTATATTATTTATGACTTGTTTTTCTAGATAATTTTTGTATTCCTTTATATTCATCACATAATCTTGCATCGTTAAAAGCAGAGCTACACTAATATTGAACAAGAGGCACTAGTTGTCATTTTTGCCATAAAGAAATTCCAAGAATATTTGATCGACACGGAATTTACAATAATAATGGATCACAAACCATTAATATACATTTTTTTCAAAAGGCCTTAAAGAAGACACATATATGTCCATGAGGCTGCAGAAATGGAATATAGCCATAGGAGCTAACAATTTTGTTATAAAATATAAGGCGGGCAAACATAACGAAGTACCTGATTGTCTATCACGATTACCCTTATCAGACACGGATGAGACATTACATAACATAGGAGAAGAGTTAGAGAACAATAATTTATAGGACATTCCAGTTAATTTTAATAAAGTATTAGAGGAAACATATAAAGATAAAGAAATATCGGACATTATTGATGATATAAGAAAGGGTGACTGTATAAAAAATAAATTATACAAAAGTATGGAAAATGAATTAAGTATTATAAATAATTGCTTATTTAAAGAAAGCAGAATTGCGATTCCCACAGGCATGAGAAAAACTATGTTGAAAGAATTACATATGGGACTGGGTGCTGGAAAGACCAAGGCATTAGCTAAGGGTTACATATATTGGCCAAGCATGAACACGGATATTGATCTCTATGTAAGAAATTGTGAATCGTGCAACATTTGGGCAGTGAATCCGAATACAATCCAACATCCATTGGCTACAACTTCCAAACCATACGAAAGGCACATATACACTACAGGACCTTTTTTTCAAAATTTTGGTAGTAATAGATGCATACAGCAAATTTCCAATAATAACCCCGGTCAAATCCATCACTAATGAAATCATTTTAAAAGAACTAATTAAACCAATCAGTATATTCGGAATACCTGATAAAATATGGACCGAGAACGGCACAAACTTCACGAGCTACTCGTTTGAAAAATTGTGCAACGATCATGCAATAAAACATACCTTAACTTCAGCTTGCCATCAGCAGTCCAACGGACAAGTAGAGAAGATGGTAGGAACATTTAAAATGAACATGAAAAGAAATAGAGGAAAAGAACACAGATTTAGACATAGCACTAGAAAGGTTTTTATTTAATTATCGCAATACTCCGAACAGCACAGTAGGCGTAGCACCAGGCAAATTATTATTCACACGACACAAGAATAATATGGGATCTATTGAAACCTGTGTTCAACAAAGAAAAGATAACCACAAGTATAAAAACAGCTAACAGGGTGATAAATAAAGGGGATAATGTATGGTACAAAACATTTTTTGAAAACAAATGGGATAAAAGTGTTGTCGTAGGAAAAGAAAGGGAATTATTGTACAGGATCGATACTGGATGTAAAGTAATCAGAAGGCATTTAGACCAAATTAAGAAAGGAGCATGTGAGACAGCAAGCGCAAACAACGAAACGATAAGAATTTTCGAAGGGGGAAGAGTAGAAAGGAATGAAAGGCCGACAAGAATAAATTACCAAGTCATTTTAAAGATTAAAGTCACAAACAATACACGATTCAATTAATATTAAATAAATAAAAAAAATATATATATACATAAAATTAAAAGGCTACATACAAAAAGAAATATATAAAATCGAATAAAAAAAATGCAAGAAATTAAAATGGCATAAATATAAAATTAAAACGCTATAAAAGAAATAGATAAAACGCGAAATGACAAATCCAATTATTATTATCCTTATTCTAATGGACGCTAAATGATAATGTATAATGATGATGATCAAGCAAATGGTATGACGACGATGATCAATGATAAGCCAGTGATGATCATGCAAATATTATGACGATTAAGAACGAGCACGACAGGGAGAATTACTCAAGGAGAGAGATATTACGAATGTGTTAATTATCGCTAATGTGCTTTAATCAATCAATCTAATTATTTTGTTATTTTTCTTGTTTTTAATTTTCCTTATAAGGAAAACATTTGTAACAGATAGAGTAAAATTATTTTATTTTTGTTTTATTATCTGCAACAAGAAAAAGGATTTACTACTATAGCTGGACACATTCTGGAGTCATAAGCATTGCCCTTTAGATGAGATGAATAACTTATGGGAAACAAAAAAATGTACTAAATCATTTATGAAATTTTATGATATTGGTTAAAGATAGATGGCAAATAAAAATCAATCCAAATATTGGATTTGTATCCACTTTTTAATAATAACAAAAAATATTAGACCTGTAAAAATCTGAGGATCGGTACAGCCCTATTAAAAATCATCATTTATTATTTTATAAATTTAAAGGAAAAAATAAGAGGTTTAATAGTGCTTAAAATAAATTATTATACATTTAAAATATCTTTCTCTGTATTGCTAATCCATTTTTTCTTATTTTCATCAAGAGTCTGTAAATTGGTTTTAAATCTTGATTCTATGGTAAGGAATTGGAATATGAATAGGTATTGCAGTAATATGCATCTTCTAAAATGTGTGTCTTCTAACTGCATATTAAGTAACTATTGTTTAAGAAAAATATTTGGTAAATACAAATAATATAATCTTTACATTTGATCCTGTTAAATATTTGGCAAAATAAATTTCTTTAAAAGTTTTCCCAACATCATATTTGTGATTATTTATTGAAGTAAAGTGGTTTAATATGTCGTATAAGTCATCTTTTATATTTTTTGAATTTCGCTCATTTATAATTTTATTATTTTGATTAGAAATAATATTTGGTTTGTTTTTTATAGGGGATGTTATATTAGAGTTATTTTTGTCTTGATATGAATTTATTGTAGAAAATACTTTTAAAATTTCATTTGTGTCCTATAAAATATTGTTTCATGATAATAATGATATTAAAAAAATTTTAAACTAACTTCTACAAACTTAGTCCAATTGTCATTTATAAAGCATTGAATAGGATCTTTGAACACATTTTGTATAGACCAAAATTTTTCATAAAAATTATAATCCTCAATTTTTTTCCTATTAAATCAATTAAAATAATTTAATTTTTATAACTTTAGATCCTCATCATTTACACTTGAGTATTTATTAGAATTATCTATAATGCTTAATCTAATATTTTTAAACTAGAAACAAACTTTATATATTTTATATTTTATTAAACTTGATCATATTCTTCCTTATTTTCATATAATGTTACATTATCAATATTAAATTGTCCATTTAAATTAAGACCTAGGAATATATATAATAAATTTAAATATTCATAAATTACCTGAGCGATCAGAGATCAAAAATAATTTTGCTAAAAATATTTGAATCCGACCACACAAAATTGTGTCTTGTGATGGAGAGAGCCTTTTAAGTAAACCTGTAAAAATTTAAAGATAGGCTAAAAAATTAAATTTTACCATTGCACATACGCAATAGATAATTTTTCCCAGCTGTATGCATAGGTTCCTAATTATGAAAATGTAACAATAACATATTCTCAAAATAAACTTTTTTCCATAAATTTAAATTATTTTCAATGTAAGTGAATATTAAATTGCACTTATCTTTTGATAAAAGATCTAAAGAATCTTGAAGAAGTAAAAATGGAGTAGATGTTGCACATAAATCTAATAAGGTTTAATTATTTTGTTATAAATATGTCAAAACCTTCTTCAACAGCTACCAATATGGTATTAAGATATGAGACAATCCCAACAGTGTCATTGGGTAATTCCTTTAAAATAACTACTGAATAATTTGCATTTATAATTATTACCTGTATTTTTGTTATAAAAAATTTCCGTATTTCATTTTCAAATAAAGATTTATTCCTAGAAAACCAATATAATATAAATATACTATGTTACTAATATATACCCTTTACAATTATCTTGATATATACGTCGTAAATCTCCAATTTTTATATCGTAAGTTTTTAAAATTTCCATTTGACAACTAATTTTATAAAGTTTAGAAAAAGATTGTTAAATCATTACTGACATCTTGTCACTAATTATCGAAATCTTTGTAAATTGTACTTGATGTATCTTGAGTCGAACATATGATCAATTGTGCAACGAATTTAAATTTCATTGTGCTTAAATCTAATACTGAATAAAAATTGCCGGGATAAAATTTCGAAGGGTGATTTTAATATTTGGGGTAGGTTACTTAAATAAGCAACTTTAAGAGGGATCGCAATAGGACTTAAGACTCCTTAAAACTTTAAAAAACCTATTTACAGATTTAGAATTTTATTTATTTATATTTACCTGGAATATTTTTCAGATAAATTGTCATTTTTGACAAAAGCTTATTTTTTTATGATTTATGATTTACATTTTTTTTAATCACATACTTGTTAACTCCTAGGTATTCAATTTTTTAATATTTCTTCAAGAATTTTGATATCGTTAGAAAGGGGGAGGGAGGGGGGGGGGTAAGAGTAGTGGACTTCCAAATTGTTTAAGGGGGTATGGTAGACATTTAAAGGGAATAGGGGATAGTTTAAGAAGAGATAGGCATCTAAGGAGAGCTAAATTTATTGGTGGATTACGAATTAAACATTTAGATGAAAGAGTGCAAAATATATTATTATATTATATTGCATAATTTCAGTAAAAGCTAGAAATAGCCAACTAACATTATAAAAATATTATAACTACTTAAAATACAATTTTAATAGCAATATAATTGATAATCTCTTTTTAAATTTGCCATAATAATCTGTTTTTATTCAATAAAATTTTAATATTATTTATTTTTAAGGATCATGCCTTTTTTGAAGTTTGTTAATCGGTCTAAAAACATATTGATCGTCATTCTACTTTCTATTATGCAGAGTGTTAGTAAAAAATATATGTATATATATATATATAAATCTTGATTCCCCACTACTTCTTTTCCATTTTTATTCCGCCATTTTCTATTTCTTCCCAGGCTTTACCCTCCCCGCCTGTAGGCGGGACAAGGCGTTAATTTATATTAAATTACATGATTCTAAAAAAATTCAAAAATATTAAACTTAAACTAGATTTTAATAATTTTTTTGAATAACTATTTGTAGGAAACAATAACGCCTACTACTCGTATACATATATTTTTAAACGACTCATTTAGAATAATTTCTCCATATAATTTCACGAAATATTTAGAAAAAAATATTCAAAACGAAATATAAATTTAATTGAAAATGCAATTCAAACCGAAATTATTAGATATCTAAATGATAAATATTTTTCAATTGTTTTTGACTGTAACCGGTATATACACTAAGCGAATGTCTAAGTATTTTGATTTGTAGATGTGAAAATATAAGTTCAAATAAATAAGAACCTTTTATTATATACCTGTTGAAAGAATTATAGGCAAAACATAAAAAATAAAAATTTAGGAATTGTTTAAAATTTTCTAATGTTATTTAAAAAACCTGAGAGGTCAAATCTTTTACATTTGTGCCAACATAGGTGAGAAAGAAAATAGGCCCCAAAGATTGATTATGATCAACAAAAGTTTTTTAATGCTTATATAACCATATTCAAAATCTGATTTTAAAAGAGTCTACAAAAGCCACTTATAACTAATATTTTTTTGTATTAATAAATTTAAAATATACAGATTGTCAGATAAAAAATACAAAACTCGAGTAAAAGCTCTTAAAGATATTTCAGAAATAAACTAATATAAGAAGAAAAAATAATGAATTCACAATATAAAAGTGAGAGAATTATAATTAAGGTGCAAAAATTTAAAATTTTAGATGAATTTGAATAAAATTTAGAAGAATTAAAATTAGTAATAAAATATACATGAATGTTTTTAGATCCCAGAATCTTCTATTAAGGCTGTGGCCTAAATATCAAAAATGAAATTCGGATACCTTCGTAACTTTACAGAAAATAAATATAAGGCATTTTTAAAGTAAGATTTAAATATTCACCTAACTGATATTTTAGAAATCAGTCGAACTGAATCGGATATTCTGAAATATATATATATTTAATAGTTGTTTTATTTATATTTTTAAATTTATATTATGCAAATAATTTAATTCAATAAAATAAATATGTAGATTAAAAAATAAAAAAAATTATAATATGGTAGTCAGGGGCGGACTGGTAAACTTTCTAGAGACCTCATTTTTACGAGAGCTTCCCCCTCAAACCCCCATTTGATGTCCTTTTTACAAAAACATATCTAAAATAGGTTAAAACATAATATTATAGTTATCACATTTTTTAAGAAAAAGACTCATGAAAGGATATTAGTTATTTTATTTTAAGAATTGCTTATATAAAATATTAATCACATAAAAATATACTTCTCGCAATTGCGCATATAATAAAATCGTCAAACATATAGAATCACATTAATTGTACATAAATTAATACATATTGCACTATAAGATCAAAATCACACATTACATCATATTGCATCGAGAATAAGCATTATTGTTCATATAAAATCAGGATTGTAAATATAGTTTCCCAAATAGTTTGAATAAATAAAATAAACTAATATTATTTAATCTTTTTCAACGGGTATCAATGAAAATGCCTCCAATTAATCACTGCTCATATTTCAACATATTTTTTATAGTTTTAAATTTACTAGATTTTCTTTCGTAATTTACTAATATGTTGGAAAAATAGATTAGGGTATGCAGTTTTGTGCAGAGTTGGGCAAAAAAGTTACAAGTAGCTTTACGTTACATAACATATTTCCAATTTAAAAAATATAACGAAGAGCTTTATACGTTATATTTGGTTATAACGTTTATTTCTCGTTACTTTTAAAACATTTATTAAAATGATATTTTTTTCATAAAATATATTAAATGTTAAAATGGAATGTCTGACTGTACTGGTCAACAGAGAACAAGGAAATCCAATAGAACTGTGATAGAATTTCCTTATTTTCAAATCTTTTTATTTGGGGATTAAGTTGTATGTCGTTTTTTATTTTCTTAAACAACGACAGCCATTGAAAAAGTTTCAGTATAGGAAGGATGATATTATTTTGATAAAAAGAATTTTGTATGATAATTGTGAAAAACACATTATTTAAATTCATTTAAGATTATCTCTTTTTTTATTAAAACATTATACATTATATTAATTTACAAGATAGAACAGATAAAAATGATTTTTTTTTATTTCATTGAAAAAAATTATATTTCTCGATTCATCATTTGAAATCATATACTATAAATATTCAATATTAATATTTATTCATTACAATACATATTTACCCATCCCGTATAGCCCTTATTTTGATTTGCAAATTTGATTAAAGGACCAAACAGGAGATGAAAATGATGTTTTATTTGAAAAAGTATTCCTTTATTGAATGTTTTAAAATGATAATCTTTGATTTTTTTTATTAAATTAGACAATAAAATATTGGTGAATTAGTTTTGGTTTCTTATTATACTTATTTTTATTTTAGACTTTACAGAAAAATGAATCAATAATATTCTTTATCGCATTTTTCTATTTTCATTTATTCTTATTTTTAAACATGTAACGAGGAGCTTATTTGTAAGTGTTACATGTTCAAGGTAACATAACCGTTTGCTTTTTTTAAAGTGAAGGGCAACTTCACCGTTATATTTCATAACGGTTAAATAACTTTTATTAAGTAACATGCTCAACCCTGGTTGTGTGCATAGTGTTGTTAAACGGCTCATTTTGAGCCGATTTTTAAAACGGCTAACTCAATATTGTAGCCTGAAAAATATAGCCTAAGCCTTGAGATTTCGCTAATAGATGTCCAAACCTTTGTTCCTTCTACAAACAAAATCTTCAGGCTTGAGTTAAATTATTCTGGATGAAATAGTGAGTTAGCCGTTTTTAAAATCGGCTTAAAACGAGCCGTTTAACAACATATGTGTGCATTATCATAGCATCAAAGAATCTCATAGATTATATTAAGCATTGATCACTTGGTTATATTTCAACATTTATTAGACTCCTCACTATCACAAATTATATCCTCAATATTGTAAATACGGGTAAAAAGATGTCAGCAATTTGAAATAATTTTACCGGATAAGAAGGACATCTTAGCAATTGATCTGGATAAATTAGCTAATGTATCATTGGTTCAAATGTGATCCAATGACATTTTAAATTAGATGATCTGTTGTACCCAAACGTTGAATGAAGGAAGATTTTCTAAATTAAAATTTCTTAATAGTTATTTGAGGCAAAAGTTGAGCTCTAATATTAGAGCAGGTTTCCGAATTTCGGCATCAAGTCTTTCCGAAACTTTAGCACCTTTCAAAAATTTGTGACTATTGAAAATTGGATATATTAAAAAATTCTATTTCACTATTATTTGTATGATTAAAAAAATTTAATTATATCTATAGAAACAAAAAATTTTTTACATGAAAAGGTGAAGTCATAATATATATTTGCAAAATTTTCAAAAGTTTTTTATATAAATTGAGACATTTTTTGCTTAATGTTAATATCTTTTAAATAATTTTATGGATATTTTATATCACAACTGAAATAGTTCTCTTAATGAATGATGTATCTAATATTTTAAAAAACTCTGTCTTTGTCATTCTTTAAAAAAAAAATTAGATAAGAAATTTATTTTAAATTAAAATTCTTTCAATTACAAATCTAATTCATTATATAAATTATTTTTTTGGATACTATTTAAGTATACGATAGGAAATTCTTCAAAATCATATGCATTATTTGAAAAATTATTTAAAATTTCTATTAAATTTTCTTTTCGAGTGGTAGCTTCTATTTTATCTTCATTTGCTATTTTTAGTCTCTTATAGTTTAAAGCATAGATGTTTGAATAAGTGGTTTGACTAGGTTCGAACAGATGATCTATTGTCCAATTTCTAATGTATTTAGTATGAGAGTAGAGTGACTTGGTAATGTCATTATTTGAAAAAATATTTACATTTTTTATCAAATTCTTATTTCGAGTTGTAGTAAC